AGTCGTCCTCTCTCTCTGAGTCGTTCTCTCTCTCTGAGTCGTTCTCTCTCTCTGAGTCGTCCTCTCTCTCTCTGAGTCGTCCTCTCTCTCTCTCTGAGTCTTCCTCTCTCTCTGAGTCGCCCTCTCTCTCTCTGAGTCGTCCTCTCTCTCTCTCTGAGTCGTCCACTCTCTCTCTATGAGTCGTCCTCTCTCTGAGTCGTCCTCTCTCTCTGAATCGTCCTCTCTCTCTAAGTCGTCCTCTCTCTCTCTGAGTCGTCCTCTCTCTCTGAGTCGTCCTCTCTCTTTGAGTCGTCCTCTCTCTCTCTGAGTCGTCCTCTCTCTCTGAGTCGTCCTCTCTCTCTGAGTCGTCCCTTCTCCCTCCGAGTCGTCCTCTCTCTTTCTGACGCTGCCAGCGGCTCAAACCAATGTTCTGACTTTTGGGGGACATCTTCAGTAAACTGGGGGTGCCCTTCTACAACAGCAGCTTCGTATAAGGGGTGGTGCCTTACCTGGCTAACAAGCGCCATGACCTCGCCAACTTCGCCTGTGCTCAGGCCAAGTTGGCGGTGTACAGAACGAGGAAGAAGACGCTGCAAGGTGCCACTGACGGCTGCTCTGAGCTGCTTCCAGTGTTCAGGTTCCTGCTCAAGGCGCGGCTCCGGCTGGAGCACGCCACGTGACACACCCACGTGTCGGTGATGTGCAGCGCGTCTTGGTCTAACGCTGGGGAGCCGGACAAGCCCCTCTCTGTACCAGCGTGGACGTCACCCCCCACGTGTTCACCTTCTGTAGCGCTCGCTCGTCACCGTGACGTGCGCGATGACCACCACCACCACGTGACTTTTATCTCGTGTTGTGCGCGGTGCATTTAGCGCCACAGCGCGTGGATTTGTAGCGTTTGTTGTTTATTTGTGTTGCTGGTGACTTTGTGTATTTGTGTTGCTGGTGACTTTGTGTATTTGTGTTGCTGGTGACTTTGTGTATTTGTGTTGCTGGCGACTTTGTGTATTTGTGTTGCTGGTGACTTTGTTTTATTTGTGTTGCTGGTGACTTTGTGTTATTTGTGTTGCTGGTGACTTTGTGTATTTCGTATCGGAATCGCCTCCCGTGCTGTTGTTGCTGCTGGCGGCAATGAAAGTTATTTAAAAGTCAAAAGTCTCTCTCTGTCTCTCTCTCTCTCTCCCGCACGCCGTGTCAACCGGAGAGCCCCTCCCGGGGACTTCGCGGGCCGAATTTGGCCCCTCGTGTCGATGGACTTAACAACACAAACACACACAAACACAACCGCCATTCGCCACTAAGTGACGGTGACGTCACCACGACGCTTGTGCCAGGCCATGTGCACCTTGAGGCCACGTGAAGTGTCGAACGCCCGCGGGCAGGAGGTCATGGGGCAGACCCAGCAGGTGCCACGGGTCGACTGACTGAGATGACTCAGATGACTGGCTGATGCACCACCTGTGCCCCCTACTGTGCCAATCTGCTGTGCTTTAGCAACCCGGCGCTCCGCTCGTTGTTGTGAGCGTCGCTCCTCCGCCCTCCGTTTGTTGTTGGAGGGCGACTACCTCCAACTGCCCAGTAGCGTCCTTCACGAGCCTCCTCCACAGAGGCCGATCTTGACACCGCTGGTAGCAGTCATCGGCAAGTCCACTCAGCTCCACGTCCTCCTGTACCACATATCTCCATCTCTTCTCTAGCCCGTGCCGCGCCCGTTTAGACCCCTCGATCCGGCCGAACAAAAGCTGTATCGGCATCCGGTGGCTGGATACAAACATACACACACACAAATACAAAGATCCCCCGTGTAGCCTGTAACAGACCGTAGGGGCAAGTGCTGTTAGCGAGCAACGCCTATGAAGGCCGGCACGGCACACGAGGGAGTGGGTGGCCAGCACCACGCCCGGCCGCCTTTGTCTCACCCCCACTGTCGATGTTCGCTACACACCGCACCAGGTACTCATTTGAGGCTGAGTCGACCTAGGTGGGGGGGGGGGGGGCAGGGGACCGGTTCAGATAATCGTCACGTGGTGGTGTTGGCCGTGAGCGGGAATCGAACACAAAACACGGAGATGATCTCGACCACCAGCTCCAAAGAGCCACGCGCGTGGCAGGAGAACAGCGAATCGTAGAAGTGACAAATAAAGGTTTGGCACGTAGAAGCAGACAACCCGATGATGATGATGATGGTGGTGGTGCAGGCAGTGATGAGAAGGAAATTGGACACGCGTTGTTGACGACATCAGATATCGGTGCCGGCAGGAAGAAGCCGCCGTAAACTTGAGCATGTTGGCACCGCAAGACGGAGGACAGTGGAAACGTTTGGCGAAATGTGCAGCGGACACACCCACCACTAGGACTATCTGCCAATGGATCGTGATGGTGATACACTACACTATACACTACACTACTATACACTACACTATATACTACACTACTATACACTACACTATATACTACACTACTATACACTACACTATACACTACTGTACACTACACTATACACTACACTACTATACACTACACTACTATACACTACACTAAACACTACACTACTATACACTACACTACTATACACTACACTACTATACACTACACTATACACTACACTATACACTACACTACTATACACTACACTATACACTACACTACTATACACTACACTATACACTACACTACTATACACTACACTACTATACACTACACTATACACTACACTACATACTACACTACTATACACTACACTATACACTACTATACACTACACTATACACTACACTACTATACACTACACTATACACTACACTACTATACACTACACTATACACTACTATACACAACACTATACACTGCACAATACACTAAACTATACACTACACTATACACTACACTATACACTACACTATACACTACTATACACAACACTATACACTACACTATACACTACACTATACACTACTCCACACTACATTATACACTGCACGATACACTACACTACTATACACTACACTATACACTACACCATATACTACTCTACACACTATGCTACTTTACACTACACAACTATACACTACACTATACACTGCACAATACACTAAACTATACACTACACTATACACTGCACTATACACTACACTATACACTACACTATACACTACTATACACTACACTACTATACACTACACTACTATACACTACACTACTATACACTACACTATACACTACACTTCTGTGATGTGCCACCACTTGAGCATGTCGGCATTACAAGAATCAGAGAATAAGTGGCCACCTCCTACAGAGATATCTCCCCATGCGTCGTGATGATGTTTCAACAACAAAAAAAAAACTGCTCTCGAATAAGCGAGACAATTGACAGCTTGCACGTTTTTCATCAGAAGATTTCCAGACGGGGACCCAGAGGCTCTTACGTTGGAGCCAGGCGCAGGGCTTCAGATCCCCGAAAGAGCGAAATGCTTCCAGGAGAGTCACCGACCGTAAAACACAAAACACAAAAGAGGAGAATGAATCTCAAAAGGGGCCGTCGCCCCCGGAGAGAATGAAGGACGACCGTTTGATTTTGTATTTCTTTATTATTCATCTCGTCTCGGTAATCAGTTTGTGAAAAAGGGTCAGAGCGGTAAAATGAAGAAGCGTAAATCGTCGGCGGAACTCGCAAACCTTGATGGAATCAACCGAATCAAAACAAGATCCTGCCGGTAGCCGTAGTACCCAAGTTGTCGATGCTAACCGTGGGCCGCAGGCAAGGCCTCCTCCCTGCCCTCCCCCCCCCCCCCCAACCCCCCAACCCCCAACCTCCTGCGCTCCAAACCACAGCCAGACTCGAACTCTCCATTAAACCCTTTCCCGTTCCGAGGCAACATCTGAAAGTTGCAGGGTGGGGGAATCCCGTTCCACCTTCGGATCTCGGGAACGCGCGAGAGCGGCTCGGCTTTGTTGTGGTTGTTGTTATTTTTTTAAAAAGATGCCGTTTTGCTCAAGACGTCAAACTCGCCGCAGGTTTCAAACATCGGCGAACGCGACCGAGCTCCGCGAAAGCCCGTGCCGAAAACTGTGACGCACCCGCCCGTCCCACGTGGCCTCGTGGCGAGCCCCAGTACATCCTTCAGACCGGAAAAACGCACCGAGTTATCTTTTTCGGTTGAACGCTTTCTGGCGATTCGGTTTCCGAAGACGCACGCGTGCGTCATCGAAAACGAATGTTGGAGGAGGAACTCACAAAGTCATCCGCTGCACGCGCACGAACGTCATCGGAATGGGAAAGGTTTAACCCTTGGCAAGAATATAAATAAAACGCGGGGGGCCTCTCACCAACACCCACAGCCAAACTTCCACACTAACCCCACCCTCCCACCCCCTGCCGAATGCCCCCTTCCCCCGAGAACACATTTCTAGAACGCATCCCCATCGCCTCCCCACAAACAAACCCGGTCACCTATGGACTCATCCAACCATCGCCCACCCCCCCACCCACTCCCCCGCATCTCACAATGACACAACAACAACAACAACACGCAGCTTATTCCTTAGACAACAATCCCTCCATTCTACCCCCCCCCCCAACCTCACCATCCCACACACAAACCCACACATCCATCCCCTCCATCAATCTCACAACAGCAACACGCATCACAATCCCTTAGTCAACATTGCCCCCATTACCACTCCTCTCCCACAAACCCACACACAAGCCCACCTATCCACCCGCTGTTGTCACCCCAATCTTACAACAACAACAACAACAGCAACTTGCAGCATATTCCTCCGTCAACATGCCTCCCTTGCCCTCCATTCCACCCCACCTTTCACCGACGCGACAGTAATTGCCAGGCCATTTCCTCCCGAAAACCTCCTGTAACCGCTGCTTTAAGGCAAAATCTTCTTTGCATTCTGAGAAAAAAAAACCACACACACACAAGATGGCTGCCTGTAACGAGGAGATAAATAGCACGTGGCAGTTGTTGTTGTTGTTGTTGCTGTTGTTGCTGTTGTTGCTGCTGCTGCTGTTCATGTTGCGCTGAGGTGGTGTTGGCGGTGATGTTGGTTTGCCGTGTGGCTTCGAATGCAAAAATTAACTTCGTGCTCGAGACTGCACGCAGGGGAGAGTTGGCTATGGCTGCTGGCGGCCGGACGGAAAACAAATAATAAAATATTTTGGCGGCAACAATCCTCAACTGCAGCCATTCTGGGTGGGGCACACAATTCAAGGGGGGGGGGGGGGGGGGCGAAACGGTCAGAGCAGAGACAGGTATGGTTTGGCGTATGGGTTCCGGGTAAGGGGCGGACCAGGATCAGGTCGTCGGGGTAAGGTTCGGATCAGGGGGCCCGGGTGCGGAGGGAAACGGGGGATGCATCTAAGTTATGGTGAGGGTGTGACATTTCCCCCCTTGTGTCCACGTTTCATTACCATCCCCTTCCACAACCACCCCCCCCCCCACTTAAACAAGGAAAAAATGGTCACGAGGCCGAAGTGACCCCCCCCTTGGAGAGTCTGGCAGAGTAATCCGTATCAAATCCGGCGGTGGCTTCGTCCGACGAGAAAGGGATCTTTCTCTCCGTGTCTCTCGGTCTCTCTCTGGCGACGGACCTCTCCATCTCTCCCCGTATCACTCTCTCCCGCTCTCTCTCTCTCTCTCGCCGTCTCTCTCTCTCTCTCTCTGCGCCGCTGTATATCCGATCGCGAAGCCAAGCCCCCCCCCCCCCACCCCCCAACCCCTGCATCTGCCGGGGGCCAGTTCCTCGCGCGGTAAGAAACAAAAATCCACCACCACCACCCCATTGAACGTCCACGTCCGGCTCAAATCTGCGTCTCCTGCACGTTCTCCTTGGAGCTCGATCGCAGCAGCAGCGGTTCGTGTACCGACGTGTGGTGGTACGAGTTGAGCGCCGGGTGTCCCAGCGTACCAGCGTGGTGCTGCTGCTGCTGCTGCTGGTGCTGGTGGTGGTGGTGGTGGTTGTATCCGTACGGCAGCGGCGGCGGCGGCGGCGGCAGCGGCAACGTCTTTCCGTAACCGTAGTGCGCGGCCAGCGACGATCCCGGCCCTCCGGCCATCCCGGCCGCGAGGGCCACGTTGGCGCTGCACAGGCCCACGCCCGGCCCTCCGCTGTCGTGCGGGCGCTTGCCGCTCGGTGGCGAGGGCAGGCCGAGAGCGAGATGCTGCTGCTGGTGGTGGTGGCGGCCGGGGCCGACGCCCAGAGGCCCGCCGGCGCCGCCCCCAGCGACGTCCTCGTCCACGCTAATGATCTCGATGGCGCGCGACTGCATCATGCGGTGGCCCTGCCGGTGGTGCTGCTTCCGCAGTTTGTAGAAGACCACCAGCATGGCGGCGGCCATCAGCGTGATGGCCACGAAGCAGCCGATGATGATCTTCGTCGTCTTCATCACCTCGTCGAGGCCCGCCGGGGCCGCCGGGGCGCCGGCCGCGCCGCCGGGCGGCTGCTGCCGGGGCGGCGGGGGGCCCTGGGACCCCGGCGGAGGGGTCAGCGGCGGGGGCCTCGGCTCGCCGGGGCCTCCCGGGGCGGCCGCCCCCTCGTCCCGCCCGGTCACCGGCTCCGCGGCCTCCGACGTCTCCACGGTGACGGTGGTGAAGTAGGTGTAGTTGGGGCCGGCGCCCGGCGGGGCCGGCGGGAACGCCGCCGGGGCGACGGCGAGGGTGGCCGAGGCCGAGGCGTTCCCGGCCGCGTTGCCGACCAGGCACGTGTAGACGGCCGGCGTCGCGCGCCGCCACGCTCGTGAAGTTCAGCGACCCCTCGGCCGTGAGCGACGGCCTGCGGAGGCCGGGGCCGGGGCCGCTGCCGGGGCGGCCGCCGCGGCCCCGCCCCGCGGCCGGCGCCTCGGGCGCCAGGGCCACGGCCGCGCCGTCCGGCCCCAGCCACGTCACGGAGCTCGTGGGCGACGGCGCCCGGCAGCGCATCTCGGCGGCCGCCCCCTCGCTCACGTTGACGTCGGCGGGGCCCTCGACGATGACGGGCGGCGGGCAGCGCGAGGCCGCCGGCGGGTCGAGGCCGCCGACGTGTCGGCCCTTGAGCTCGGGCGGCGAGGAGCATCGGGCGCAGCACGTGACGTTGCCGGGCTCGTTGCCGCGGAGCCAGCGGGAGAGCCAGGCGACGTCGCAGTCGCACGCCCACGGGTTGTGGTGGAGGTGGACCCGCCGCAGGCCTCCGAGGGGCCCGAACAGCTCGTGGGGCAGCGACGCCAGCCGGTTGTGGGCCAGGTTGAGGTCCTGGAGGGAACGCAGGCCGTCGAGGGAGCCGCGCTGCACCAGGCGGACGCCCGCGTGCATCATCCACAGCTTGCGGAGGCTGCCGAGGCCGCGGAAAGAGGCCGGCCGCAGCGACTCGACGCGGTTGCCCGACAGGTCGAGCTCCTCGAGGCTGGCCAGCGGCTCCAGGTTGGGCACCTCGCGGAGCATGCACATGCCCAGGTTGAGGTACTGCAGGTTGCCGAGGCCCTCGAAGGCGCCCTCCGAGATGAACTGCAGGTGCTTGAGCTCGCCCAGGTCGAGGCGCTGCAGCGATTCGAGTGGGCGGAAGGCGAACGCGGGGATGCTCTCGATGGGGTTGCTGCGCAGCCACAGCTCCCGGAGGCCCGCGACGGGCCCGAACGCGGCGCTGGGCACGGCCGTGAGGCGGTTGTCGAAGAGCTCCAGCGTGGTGAGGCTCGCGAGGCCGTGGAAGGCGCCCGCCTCCACCTGGCGGATGGAGTTGCGGCTCAGCTGCAGCACGCGCAGCTGCCGCAGCTGCCGGAAGCTGTCGGCCTTCACCACGTGCAGGCTGTTCTCCTGCAGGTTCAGGAAGTGGGCGCCCGAGGGCACGCCCGACGGCGCCTCCCGCAGCGACTTGCGCGTGCAGATGACGCGGCTCAGCTCCTGCGTGCAGGTGCAGAGCGAGGGGCAGGCCCGGGCCGCCGCCGCCGAGGTCGGTGGCGGCGAGGCCCCGGCGCCGACTCCGCCGCCGCCGCCGCCGGGCGCCAGCAGAGCCGTCGCGGCCAACGCGCAGAGCCACCAGCGGCCCCCGCCGATGCCGCCGACGCCGCCCGCCGCCGCCGATACCGCGGTCGGCCGTGGTCGCTGACGGGGGAGCCGGCGACGGAGCCGGCGGTGGCGCTGCTGAGGCGCCACGGCCGTGCCCGAGCCTCCAGCAGTGGCGGCAGCACCACCACCACCACCACCAGCAGCAGCAACAGCGGCACCACCACCACCACCAGCAGCGGCGGCGGCCGAGATGCCTCCAATCGAATTTTCTCTCCTCCTCCTCCTCCTCCGCTGTCTTGTTTCCCTCCTCCTCCTCCTCCTTCGTCTTCCTCCGCCTCGCCCTCTCCGCCGCCTGCTGACGACGCCGATACTCCCGGCCCTGCTGCCGGGGAGCGGCGCGAGGAGATGTCGCAAGCGGTGGCGGTGGCGGAGGAGGTGGAAGGGAAGAAGGAGCTGGCGGAGGAGGCGGCGGAGGAGGTGGAAGGGAAGAAGGAGCTGGCGGAGGAGGTGGCAGAGGAGGTGGAAGGGAAGAAGGAGCTGGCGGAGGTGGCGGCGGAGGAGGCGGCGGAGGAGGAGGAGGAGGCGGAGTTCCTCGTCGGCGAGACGCGGAGGTTGGCGGAACGCAGGGCGGTGAGACGGAGACCCGGGGGTGATCGGGAACCACCGAGCGTCGTGCACGCGCTGCTGCTGCTTCTGCTGCTTCTGCTGCTTCTACCGCTGCTTCTGATGCTTCTGCTGCTTCTCCCGCTGCTGCTTCTCCCGCTGCTGCTGCTGTTGCTTCTTCTGCTTCTGCTGCTGCTTCTTCCGCTGCTGTTGCTTCTTCTGCTTCTGCTGCTTCTGCTGCTTCTTCCGCTACTGTTGCTTCTTCTGCTGCCGCTTCTCCCGCTGCTGCTGCTTCTCCTGCTGCTTCCGCTGCTTCCGCTGCTGCTTCTCCTGCTGCTGCTGCAGCTACTCCCGCTGCTTTTGCTGCTGTTGCTTCCGGCGGCTGTGCGCGCATGTTTAGGTTTGCGAGCAACGGGTCCGGCCAGGGTGGGCAGGAATGCCGCTACAATGTTCATAGTGGGCTGGGAGACCCGAGCAGGTGAAGAAGGAGGTGGACGAGGAGGAGGAGGAGGTGGAGGAGGAGGTGGTGGTGGTGTTGTAGGAGTAGGCAGAAGAGGGACGAGGCCGGAGGACGAGGAGAAGGTGAGGTCCTTGGGACGTTGAGGATGGAGTCCATGAGAGGCCTGTACCAGGCCTCAGGTGGCACGCTACAACACTGTCGAGAGAGAGAGAGATGGATGAGAGGGGGTCAAGGCGGTGAGCAGAGAGAGAGATAGAGACGGAGACTTTGACGTTATAAGCAACTTGCGTTGCCGCCAGCAACAACAGCGCCGGATGGCGATTCCGATGGGGAACGCACAAAGTTCACCAGCAGACAAACAGCACGAACGCTGTCCATCCACAGGCGCTGTGGCGCAAAACTCGAAATAAAAGCCACGTGGTGGTGGTGGTGGTGGGGGTCATGGGGGTCATCGCGAGCACTTCAGAAGGTGAACGTGAGGGTGCCGAGGGAGGGGATGGACGTTTACAGAACGACATGGAAAGGGAGTGACATGGGGGGGGGAGGGGGTGGGAGGACATGGGGGAGGGGGACGAGGGGGAAAGGTTAGGGGTGAAAGGGGATGGGGGAGAAGGGAGGGTGAGAGGGAAGGGGGGAAAGGGGAGGGGGGAGAGGGGAGGGGGGAGGTGCGGAGCGTGGGCCGTCAAACGCAACTTGAGAATTGCTGCTGATGATGGTGACGATGGTGGTAGTGGTGACGATGGTGGTAGTGGTGACGATGGTTGTAGTGGTGACGATGGTGGTAGTGGTGATGATGGTGGTGGTGGTGGTGATGGTGACGATGGTGGTAGTGGTGGTGATGATGACGATGGTGGTCGTGGTGACGATGGTGGTAGTGGGGACGATGGTGGTAGTGGTGATGATGGTGGTAGTGGTGAAGATGGTGACGGTGGTGGTAGTGGTGATGGTGGTGGTAGTGGTGACGGTGGTGGTAGTGGTGAGGATGGTGACGATGGTGGTAGTGGTGGTAGTGGTGATGATGGTGGTGATGACGGTGATGATGGTGGTAGTGGTGACGATGGTGGTAGTGGTGGTGTAGCGGTGATGATGGTGGTAGTGGTGATGATGGTGGTAGTGGTGACGATGGTGGTAGTGGTGGTGTAGTGGTCAGTGTTACGCTGCCCTACGAATCCGACCACCTGAGTTCAATTCCCGCTCACGGCCAACACCACCAGTGACGATTATCTGAACCGGTCCTGGGCCTCCCCTAGGTCGACTCAGCCTCAAATGAGTACCTGGTGCGGCTGTGTAGTGAACATAGCCACTGGGGAGACAAAGGCGGCCGGGGACGGTGTTAGCCAATCACCCCACGGTGTGCCGTAGGTGCTCGCTAACAGCACTTGCCCCTGCAGTCTGTGAAGGCTGCACGGGGGATCTTTGTCTTTCTGTCCCCCCCTCCCCCCAAAGCCCCTCCCCCCAAAGCCCCTCCCCCCGTGAGTGTCACGTGGGACCCCGAGTCTCTGAGTGGTGCTGGTGGAGTTCCACCCCTGTGGAGGGATCGGAGACTCGACGGAGTTCCACTCCTGGTGCTGCTGCCTCGAACCTCCCACAACTCCCTCCACTTCCGGCCCCCCCCGTTCTCCATCCCCCCTCCCTCCATCACCTCCCCCACTCCTCCATCTCCTACCCCCCCCATCTCCACCCCCTCCTCCCTCCCTCCTCCATCTCCTACCCCCCCCATCTCCACCCCCTCCTCCCTCCCTCCTCCATCTCCTACCCCCCTCTTCCACCTCCCTCCTCCACCCCCTCCACCCCTCTCTCTTCACCCCCCTCCCCATCCTCCCTCATCCCCCCTCCTCCATCTCCTCTCTGTCCACAGCCCCCCTACATCTCCCCCCTCCTCCACCCCCTCCTCCACCCCCCCCCCTCCTCCACCCCCTCCCCCCTCCTCCACCCCCTCCCCCCTCCTCCGTCTTTTGTTTCGCGCCGCCGATCTCTCCCACAGCGGCGGCGCGTGACGGGGAGAGCGAGAGGGAGAGAGGGGGGGGGAGAGTGCAGGGGGAGAGTGCAGGGGGAGAGAGAGAGAGGGGAGAGTGCAGGGGGAGAGTGCAGGGGGAGAGAGAGGGGAGAGAGTGCAGGGGGAGAGTGCAGGGGGGGAGAGTGCAGGGGGAGAGTGCAGGGGGAGAGGGAGAGGGAGAGTGCAGGGGGAGAGTGCAGGGGGGAGAGAGAGAGAGGGGGGAGAGTGCAGGGGGAGAGTGCAGGGGGAGAGTGCAGGGGGAGAGAGAGGGGAGAGTGCAGGGGGAGAGAGAGAGAGGGGGGAGAGTGCAGGGGGAGAGTGCAGGGGGAGAGTGCAGGGGGAGAGAGAGAGGGAGAGTGAGAGGGGAGAGTGCAGGGGGAGAGAGAGAGAGGGGGGAGAGTGCAGGGGGAGAGTGCAGGGGGAGAGTGAGAGGGAGAGTGCAGGGGGAGAGTGCAGGGGGAGAGCGAGAGGGGGGGGAGAGTGCAGGGGGAGAGTGCAGGGGGAGAGAGAGGCGGGAGAGTGCAGGGGGAGAGGGGAGAGTGCAGGGGGAGAGTGAGGGGGGAGAGTGCAGGCAGGGAGTGCAGGAGGAGAGTGCAGAGGGAGAGCGAGAGGGGGAGAGTGAGAGGGAGAGTGCAGGGGGAGAGTGCAGAGGAGGGAGAGTGCAGGGGGAGAGTGCAGGGGTAGAGAGAGGGGGTAGAGAGGGAGAGAGAGAGGGGGTAGAGAGGGGGGGAGAGGGGGGAGAGAGGGAGAGAGAGGGGGGGGAGAGAGAGGGGTGGTAGAGAGAGGGGGTAGAGAGAGGGGGGGGTAGAGAGAGGGGGTAGAGAGAGGGGGGAGAGAGGGGGGGTGAGAGAGAGGGGAGAGAGAGGGGGTAGAGAGGGGGAGAGTGAGAGGGGGGTGAGAGGGGGGGGGGGGGCGAGTGAGACGCGAGAGGCGCGCATCGAATAAGAATGCAAGGAGGGGGTTGGGAGAGACGAGGGGAGCGGTGGCGCAGCGGTTAGCGCGCTGCGCTAGGATTTCACGTGTCCCTGTGTGTGTCTGTGTGTCCCTGTGTCTGTGTGTGTGTCTGTATGTCCCTGTGTGTGTCTCTGCGTGTCCCCGTGTCTGTGTGTGTCTCTGTGTGTGTCTCTGTGTGTGTGTCTGTGTGTCCCTGTGTGTGTCTCTACGTGTCCCCTTGTCTGTGTGTGTCTCTGCGTGTCCCCGTGTCTGTGTGTGTGTATCTGCGTGTCTCCGTGTGTTTCCCTGTCCCAGTGTGTCTGTGTGTGTGTCTGTGTGTGTCTCTGTGTGTGTCTCTGTGTGTGTTTGTGTGTGTCTGTGTGTGTCTCTGTCCGAGTGTGTCTGTGTGTGTCTCTGTCCGAGTGTGTCCCTGTGTGTCTCTGTGTGTGTCTGTGTGTGTCTGTGTGTGTGTCTGTGTCTCTGTGTGTGTGTGTCTGTGTGTGTCTCTGTCCGAGTGTGTCTGTGTGTGTGTCTGTGTCTGTCTGTGTGTGTCTCTGTCCGAGTGTGTCTGTGTGTGTGTCTGTCCGAGTGTGTCTGTGTGTGTGTCTGTGTGTGTCTGTGTGTGTCTCTGTCCGAGTGTGTCTGTGTGTGTGTCTGTGTGTGTCTGTGTCTGTCTGTGTGTGTCTCTGTCCGAGTGTGTCTGTGTGTGTGTCTGTCCGAGTGTGTCTGTGTGTGTGTCTGTGTGTGTGTGTGTCTGTGTGTGTGTGTGTCTGTGTGTGTGTCTGTGTGTGTGTCTGTATGTCCCTGTGTGTGTCTCTGCGTGTCCCCGTGTCTGTGTGTGTCTCTGTGTGTGTCTCTGTGTGTGTGTCTGTGTGTCCCTGTGTGTGTCTCTACGTGTCCCCATGTCTGTGTGTGTCTCTGCGTGTCCCCGTGTCTGTGTGTGTGTATCTGCGTGTCTCCGTGTGTTTCCCTGTCCCAGTGTGTCTGTGTGTGTGTCTGTGTGTGTCTCTGTGTGTGTCTCTGTGTGTGTTTGTGTGTGTCTGTGTGTGTCTCTGTCCGAGTGTGTCTGTGTGTGTCTCTGTCCGAGTGTGTCCCTGTGTGTCTCTGTGTGTGTCTGTGTGTGTCTGTGTGTGTGTCTGTGTCTCTGTGTGTGTGTGTCTGTGTGTGTCTCTGTCCGAGTGTGTCTGTGTGTGTGTCTGTGTCTGTCTGTGTGTGTCTCTGTCCGAGTGTGTCTGTGTGTGTGTCTGTCCGAGTGTGTCTGTGTGTGTGTCTGTGTGTGTCTGTGTGTGTCTCTGTCCGAGTGTGTCTGTGTGTGTGTCTGTGTGTGTCTGTGTCTGTCTGTGTGTGTCTCTGTCCGAGTGTGTCTGTGTGTGTGTCTGTCCGAGTGTGTCTGTGTGTGTGTCTGTGTGTGTGTGTGTCTGTGTGTGTGTGTCTGTGTGTGTGTCTGTGTGTGTGTCTGTGTCTGTGTGTGTCTCTGTGTGTGTGTGTGTCTGTGTGTGTGTCTGTGTGTGTCGCTGTGTGTCTGTGTGTGTGTCTGTGTCTGTGTGTGTGTCTGTGTGTGTCTCTGTGTGTGTGTGTGTCCCCTATGAACTCGGTGTAGCCGAGTTCGATTCCCGCTCACGGCCAACACCAGTGACGAGTAAACGGTCATGGGCCAGCCCCTAGGTCCACTCAGCCTCAAAATGAGTGCGCTGCGTAGCAAAGCATCGCAACATGGGGAGACAAAGGCGGCCGGGCGTGGTTCCAGGCCATAGGTCCTGCTCGCTGACTGGCAGCACTTTGCCCCGACAGCCTCCTGAGGCTATCCGGGAGAGGTGGGTATCTTTGCCTCTGTGTCTCAGAGGCGTGTCTGTGTGTGAGTCTCTGTGCGTGTGTGTGTGTGCGTCTGACTGTGCGAATGTGCTGTGAATGCGTAAACAAGCGGACAGGGGAGATGTGCTGGCCGTGTGTGTGTGTCAATATCTGTGTGGTTGTGCGTGCAGGGAGCGGTGGTGCAGCGGTTAGCGCTATGCTGCGCTACGATCCCGGCGGCCCGGGTTCGATTCCCGCTCAAGGGCAACACCGGT